ATTTCTCCCTATGTTTTCTAATAAGAGTTTAATAGTTTTAGCTACTATGTTTAGGTCTTTGATGCATTTTGAGTTAATTTTTGTATGTGGTGTCAGGCAAGGGTCCAACTTCATTCCTTTGCATGTGGTTATCCAGTTTTCCCAGCACTATTTGTTGAAGAGACTATCCTTTCCCCATTGAATGGTCTTGACACTCTTGTTGAAAATCAATTGACCATATATATGCAAGGGTTTATTTCTGGATTTTCTATTCCATTGGTCTATATGTTTGTCCTTATGCCAGTTCCACACTGTTTTGATTATTTTAGCTCTGCAGTTAGTTTTGAAATCAGGAAGTATTGAGTTTTTCGACTTTGTTCTTTTTCGTGATGTTTTTGGCTATTTGGGATTCCTTGAGATTCCTCATGAATTTTAAGATGGGTTTTCCTATTTCTGCAAAAAATGCGGTTGGGATTTTGATAGAAATTGAATTGAATCTGTTGATCACTTTGGATAGCATTGCCATTTTAACAATATTAACTCTTCCAATCCATGAACACAGTATATCTTTCCATTTATGTCTTTAATTTCTTTCAGCAATGAAAACATTGCTGTTTTGCATTTTTCAGTGTAATAAGTCTTTTGCCTCCTTGGTTAAATTTATTCTTAGATATTCCTTTTGATGCTGTTGTAAATGGAATTGTTTTCTTAATTTCCTGTTTGTATTGTTCATTGTTAGTGTATAGAAATGCAGCTGATTTTTGTGTGTTGATTATGTATCCACCAACTTTACTGAATTCATTTGTTAACTAAGAATTTTTTTGTGATATTTTTAAGGTTTTCTACATATATAAGATATCATATGTGAACAGAGATAATTTTACTCTTCCTTTCCAATTTGGATTATAATATGCTATTTTAAACAATCATAAAGTGAAAAAAAAATTAAATTTAACTACCGTTGATTTTTCTATAAAAAAAACTATTTTGGTCAGTATATCCATGATCATATACCCAAATTTTGGTCAGTATATCCATGATCATATACCCATATCCATGATCATATACCCAGTGTGGTCCATTTGCTATGTCTTGAAAGACAGCAGCCCATCTATGGGAGGAGGTAGATGAATGGGTGAAAATGAAAAACAGTTTTGTAAGATGTTACCATTTTGGGAAACCGGGTAACAGATACACAGGATCTTTCTTACAACTGCATGTGACTCTACAGTTATCTCAAAGTGAAAAGTTTAATTTAAAAAAAGGCTAGTTCCTGTACGCATATACTTCTCCAAAATAATAGTGCACAAGAGGTAAAACACTAATAATTTTTGGAACTCCACAATTTCTCATGGAAAAAAAAATAAAGCAGTAAAACATACAGGCAAAACAACATGGCCTGTAGTTAAAAACACTGACGACATTAGGACTCAAAACTTGTCTGAAACCCAGTCATTCATGATATGGTTAGGTTATATTAGGAATTTAGATTTCTTTTTGGTGCACTTGCAGATAGATCTCACAGGTCATCTGCATCAAGCCCATGTTGTAAATGTGTGACTGTGAGCATGAAGGCTGAACACATTCTTCTTTAATGGAGGTTTTTAACCACTTCTTAAAGAATCATTTTAAGGACATTTACCTAGAACCTAGAGTTAAGTAATGTATAGTACTGGTTGAGTTAGCTTCACGTTTTGGTGGAGGGGGAAGAGAGTGACAACCATGTCTGGATTTAATAAAAGATATAACTTGTAACAGTTCACAATTATAAAACTGATAAGTTAATGTGTGCACTTTTGCCTTAGGAAAAGATCCTTCAATTTACAAAAGGATTAATAAGTGCTGCCCTTTAAACGGTTGCTTTGGTGTGTTTAAAAGATCATTTCCACAATTATGACTTACATAATTCCAAGGGTCATCTCCAAAGTGTGACTCTAGAAATGAGGCAGACTTTTAAAACTGACATCAGAGCTTTTATGTGCAAATAAATATTTCCCTTCTAAGTAGTCACCCGAGGAGGCCATACTGAAACCGATGATGATGTCATTCCTGAAGACATTTTGAGAACTCTCCTTTTATAGCCTATTTAGAAGGCATGCAAGAAAATAAATCTTTAGGAATACTTTGGATTTTGGTAAAAACTAATTTTACCCAACTTGATAATCTTTCGTTATTCACCATGTTTGACTCTAAATGATATTTGACTACTTCCAAAAATCACGTTTACCCTCAAAGAGAGATTTTTCAAATGGGTGGGCAAAATTTTTTAAGTATCAAAATTTTTTTCACCACTGGGCTCCTACCCGATCTCATGATTTATAATATAATACCAACACGTTTATGCCTAAAAGTGCTGTCTTTCACAGAGAAAAAAAGTTGTACTGATTGTATTCCCTTGTTTTTATATTTGCATTTGGTGATACTGTTAATGTGCTGCACTGATTTATCCACAGTCCTGACCTTGGCCAACTACAGCATGAATTCATGTGATAGCTGGCTTTGTGGTTGGATTGCTGTGAGTTCTAGGAATGAGTGGGACAGTCATTCTGCTGGTTTACTGTACTCCTTTCATTTCTAAAGAACAACTTTTCACTGTTTGGTAATCTGTTGATGGGACAAGATGCAGAGTGACATCATTCATTCTTATTTTTAAATTTTGGTTATAAGGAATTTTGTGTGCCATGGGGTTGACATGTAGAGCAGCTTTTCCTCTGGTTCTATTTTCTAATTTTATTAAGAACACTGAGTGACTTGATGGTAATTTTTTTGTACATCTGACTCTTTTGCAAAGGAAAGTTATGGCAAAAAGTAGAAATTATACCCTCTTTGTACTTTTATTCTAGAGGTAAGTTTGTTTCAAAATTTTGTGAAACAACCCTTTCCACCAAAACAAAACAACTGAAATCCCACACAAGGTCTCTAGTTGCAATACTGCAACTATTACAACTCATTTCTTTTTCCTTCCCTAAATATCTTGGGTTCTTCCTTACCAAACATAGGAAAATGGTGCAGAGGGGCCACTGGCTTTGGGGCCCAGTGCCCTGCTTGAATGGGGGTGGTGCCTGGCCCAGGAAGGCCTGATACACCTGTTACCTGATTCAAAGTGTTTTAATGTGCATTCTGTTGATTATTAGTGAGATGGGAATGCTTTTTCTCCCAATTTTTTTTGTTACCCAGTTGTATTCCTTTTTTAAAATTGTTTCTGTCTTTTATTCATTTATCTGGGAATTGAGTATTTTTTGATATAATAAGGATGTTTATCTCTTTATTTTGAAGTTAGTTTGCCTTTTAAATTTTGGGTATGGATTTTTTTTGGAGGCGCATGCACAAGTTTTATTTTTTATGTAAATATGCATATTTTTAAATTTCTTCCTCTTTTTTGCATTTTTTATTGAGATAAAATTCAAATTAAAGTCACCATTTAAACCATTTTAGTATACAATTCACTGTTTTTTTAGTAAATTCACAATATTGTACAACCATTACCACTTTCCAATTCTAGAATATTTTCATTGTCCCCAAAAGATAGCACATACTTCCTAATTCCTCCCTTTCTCCATCCCCTGGCAACCACTAATCCACTTTCTGTCTCTATGGCTTTGCCTGTTTTGAACATTTCATATATATAAATGGAATCATCCAATATGTGGCATTTTGTGCCTGCCATCTTTAGCATAGTGTTTCCAAGGGTCATCCATATTTTAGCATGGTTGACTATTTCATTCCTTTTTATTGGAGTATAATATTCCATTGTTTATTCATCAGTTGATGGACATTTGGGTACTTTCCACTTTTTGGCTATTATGAATATTGCTGCCATGAACATTTGTGTACAATTTTTTTGTGTGTGGGCGTATGTTTTCATTCTCTTCTGTATATATCTAGGAGTGGAATTGCTGGGTCATTTGGTAACTCTGTGTTTCACTTGTTGAGTTACTACTAAACTGTTTCTCACAGTGACTGCACCATTTTACATGTCCACCAGAAATGTATGTGGGTTCCAATTTCTTTACATCCTTAACCAACCCTTATTTTTCATTTTTTAAAATTATTGTCATATCCATGCTAATGAGTGTAAAATAGTATCTCCTTGTGGTTTTGATTGGCACTTTTTTAATGACTAATAATATTGAGCATTTTTTCATCTGCTTACTGGCCATTTGTATATCTTCTTTGAAGAAATGTATATTTAAGTCCTTTGCCCATTTTTAAGTTGGGTTGTTTGTCTTTTTATTGTTTAATTGTAAGAATCTTTATATTTTTAAAATGATAAATATTTTATAAAAGGATATTAATACCTTTTCAGATATATGATTTGAAAACAGTTTCCTCCGGTGTGTGGGTTGTCTTTTCACTTTCTTGGTGGTATCTTTTGAGACACAAAAGTTTTAAATTTTGATAAAGTCAGTTTTACCTATTTTCTCTCTTGCTTTTAATTTTAGGAAATCTTCTTTTACTAGAAATGGGGTATATATTTATTTTCTGCATTTTAAACTTTTAACTTTTTATAACCCTGTTGGATTACAGATCCACCTGTTATATAACTTAACAGGGTGTGCTGTGATAATTTAGTTACCTAAATATTTCTCTGGGAATCTGTAAGCTCTTCTAAGTTCTGTTCTATGTTTTACTTGTCTTTATGTCAGTCATTTATACAATTATTCTGTGCCAAGCACGAGATAGAGTAATAAACAGAAAAACTACTGAAGCCTTCCAGAGAGTAAGTGTTCAGTAAATATATTTGGTAAATTACTGATTATTTTAAATGATGTAAAGTGAAATCTTATCAGCATTTTTCTTGAATTACATTTTGATCCTAGCTAAGTGTACAGGTAGGTTATGTTACTCATGTTTTCATATCCTCAGTGGAATAAAATTCATTTCCTTTAGTTTTTATTTTGAATATGCATTCTTTTAGACCACTTACAGTGTAGATATGTTTTCAGTTTGTTAGAACTTTACATTTAATTAAATACATGACAGGCTAATTAAGGAAATTCTTTAAATTTTTATTTTGATAGTGAAAGCAAGTTGAATACATTGGTGCAGAAGCTTCATGACTTCCTGGCACACTCATCAGAAGAATCTGAAGAAACAAGTTCTCCTCCAAGACTTGTGGTGAACCAAAGCACAGGTAAATTGAAAAAGAATGTGCAATATCTTCTAGCTTATTTTCCATTTACTTTTTGCAGGGAGCAACTATTAAAGTCTTTAATAGCCTCCGTGTATCTAGTATTTAGCTAACATCTGATACTGGAGATTTTAATTTAGATAAGTAAAAATGTAAGGTTGTATGGTTATAGGTGCTTAGAGAAGGATACACTTATGCTATTATGTGTAATGGAAATGTCTTATAGAGGTGGTGATGAATATTGACTATGAAAAATAGGTAGTATTAGAAGAGGCAGAAGCAGTACAGAATTATATTTTCCTAACAGTTATTCATGTATTATGAGTTATATTTTTATGTTGTTTAATAACTTTTCTGAGTAGATTTAGTGTATATGTGTTTTTTTTTTTATAAAAAACACTTAACACCTCCTTTCTACCTCTCTTTTCTCCTTTTTTAAAGTATCCTGTATCATGTGATGATTACCATCACTCGTTTTGAGGTTCTCAAGGGTAGCTGCATATATAAGAGCTGAATACACACACACACACACACACACACACACACACGTGCACGCAAACACAATATGTACAAAGTGTAAGAGAAGTAGATCACAGTGAAAAGTTCAACCATGTGTGTAATTAGCGTCCCAGAAGGAAAGAAGAGATGAATGGGTCAGAAGCCGAATTTGAGAGATATTGGCTGAGTATTTTCTAAAAGTGATAAAAGACATCAAGCCATAGATTCATGAAACTCTGTGAACCCCAAGCAGGATAAATATAAAGAAAACCACAACCAGGCATATAATAAATTCCTAAAGAACAAAAACCAAGAGAAAAATCTTGTAAGCAGCCAGAGGAAAAAAATCATTGCTTTCAAAGGAACAACAATAACACTGATAGCTTATTTGACAACAGGAATGATAGAAGTTAGATGACAGTGAAATGATTTCTTTAACGTGCCAAATGAAAATAATTGCCAACTTACAACTCCATATTCGGTGAAAACGTCTTTCAAAAGTGAAGGTGGAATAAAGACAAACAAAAAGTGAGAACTTGGGGCTGGCCCTGTAGCCTAGTGGCTAAGTTCGGTGCACTCTGCTTTGGTGGCCTGGGTTTGGTTCCTGGCACAGACCTACACCACTCATTGGTGGCTATGCTGTGGTGGCGACCCACATACAAAAGAGAGGAAGATTGGCACAGATGTTAGCTCAGGGCAAATCTTCCTCAGCAAAAAAAAAAAAAAAAAAGAAAAAGAACTTGCTGTCAGTAGACCTACACTAAAGAAAATACTAAAGGGTTTTCTTAGATCAGAAGGAAAATGATTTGCAGTGGCAACACCAAAATACAGGAACTAATGAATAACAATGGGAAGGGTAAATAGATGGGTAAAACTAAATAGGTACTGTTACCTAATCCACAGTCCCTATTCTTAATTCGTAAATTACCCCAACAGTGTTTTTATAGGTAAGTTTTTTTCCTCCCAAGTCCAGGATCCAGTTGAAGATTACACATTGCATATAGTTGTCTTGTCTCTTTAGTCTTATTAAAATCTGAAATAATTTCTCTGTTGGAACCATGACATTTTTGAAATGTAGGTCTGTTCCTTTGGTGATTGTCCCTCAATGTGGCTTTGTGATTTGTTAGAATTAGATTCAAGTTATTTGTTTTTGGTGGGATTACTATGTAAGTGGTGTTACATTCTTGTCAGTTCGTCATATCACAAGGCATCTGATGTAATTTTTCCCCTTGTTGGTGATGCTAACTTAGGTTACTTGGTTATGGTTGTTTTGCTAGATTAATCCACTATAAAGTTATGATTTATTCCTTTGTAACTAATAAGTAATTTGTTGGAGATTACTTTGAAACTACTTAGGTATTCATCATCAGAAGTTAACTTCTGTATTTTCTATTACAAATTACCACAAACTTGTCAGCTTAAAACAACCCAAATTTATTATCTCACAGTTCTGTAGGTCAGGAGTCCAGTGAGCTTTGCTGGGCTCTGCTCAGGGTATCTCAAGGCCAAAGTCACAGTGTCAGTAAGACTGTGTTCCTTTCTACAGGCTCTGTGGAAAAATCCATTTCCATGCTCATTCGGGTTGTTGGCAGAATTCAGTTCCTTGTGGTTTTAGGTGTGAAGTCCCCATTTCTTTCTGGCTATTGGCCAGGATCCTCTCTCTCAGCTCATTAAGGCTGTTTTCATTTCTTCTCACATGGCTCCCTCCATCTTCAAAACCAGCAACAGCACATTGAGTCTTTCTCATGCTTTGAATCTCTCTGACTTACCTTTTTGCTTGCTTCTTCTACCAGCTGGGGAAATTTTTCTACTTTTAAGGACTCATGTGATTAGATTAGCCCTGCTTCCCTCTTACCCACCCCCCAGCCCATAACCTTCCATTTTTAAGGTCAACTCTGCCATTTTACATAGCACAATCGTGGGAGTGATATTTCCTCCCATTCACAGGTTCTGGGGTTTAGGGGCTGTGAAATATTGGAGACCATTCATAGAAATTCTGCCTACCACAGCATCCATTTATGATTCTTGGCTGAAGGATATATTACTATGCTGGGTTCAAAAGGGTGATATTCTAATCTATCATTCCTTCTATATTTTAGTTGGTATATTACTATAAGGGAGTGGTTTATGTTCTACACTCTCTATTCATTTGTTTATATTAGTATATACTAATATTCTTTCTTTTCCCATGAATATTCTCTTACTGTCATTATTTATTTCAGTGCTCAAATTGTACCAGTATTGGCTAGTGGGAAGCCCCTACTGTATGGCTCCTTCTGACCTTTTCACGTCTTTATCATCATTGAGCACTTTCTGTCTTTCTGCTCTCACAAGATGTTCAATGTTTACTTTGCAGTGTTTCTTCCCTAGCCCTGGAATCAATTATTTCTCCAAGAGTTCTGATTCCTTTTAATGGGACATGGTATTTAGAAACCAAGATCTGGGTGTATGATGGGCTCATTGCCACCAGGGTGTTTTTGCTTCCAGGCTCTTTCACAGAGAAAGCCAGTATATGTGTTATATTTTCATGAGTTGATATTGATACTCTTAGTTCTAATTTGATACCACAGGCTTGATTCTAGTCTTCCTCTTTTCATATTTTAACTTCTTTCTTCAACAGAAAGAAACCTAGCTCCCATTATCCTCAATTTATGTACTCATTTGCTCAGTGCTTATTGTACCTATGTATTTTCAAATTTGCTAACCATGCTGTCTCAAAAAAGAAACCTCACTAACGTTAAGTATTTGTTTAAAGTTCTTTTTTGTCTTTAGAATGAAGTTATGTTGTCAAAGTCCTGTGTTCAGTAGTTAATCGGGGAGTTCTGCTTCTGCTAGTGGTAGAGTAGCTCCATTTGGACAGATATGTCTCACAGATACCAATTATAAACTCTGGCCAAAATACTGAAAACAATGGTGTGAAAGAACTGGACAGTGACAAAAAGCAGACACAAACTGGAGGGGCGTCATCACGTGAAATAAGGAAATACCAGTGGCTGAATTCCTAATTATTAAGCCTTTTTTCCTTAGAGAAGGTGCCAGTTAGTTCCATCAGTGACATTTAAGGCTTAGATAGAAACCTGCATTCTTATTGGATGAAATATCAAGAAATTTAGGGGGACCACAGCAGCTTTAATAAAGTGATGGGGGAGATCCCACCTAGAAGAGAGCTACAGGTTGGAAGCTCCAAAATCTGCAAAAACTTGAACCATACCTCTGGTTGAATTGCCAAAGTGCAGCCCAGATTTCAGGCAGCCCAGTTAGGGCTAAAAGAACAGAACAAAGCTTTCAGCTGCTTCCACTATAGGGTAGACAGTTTGGGGTTTGATTTCAGTTAACTATCTGCTGTTAACAGAAATACTAACTCTTTGGAGGAACATAACAGGAATGCAGTATCTTCACTGTGTCTTTCAAAATGTCCAGTATCCAATCCAAAATACTAGATAGATGAAGAAAGAGAAAATGTGACCAGTGCTTAAAAGGAAAGGCAATCAATAGAGACCAACCCACAGATGACTCAGATGTTGAAATTAGCAGACAAGAATATTAAAGCAGCTGTTAGAACTATGCTCAAGTACAAAAAGGCAAAATACATTTGTGATGAATGGACAGATAGGAAATCTCAGTACAGACATAGAAACCGTAAAAAGAGAACCAACTTGAAATTCTAGAACTGAAAAATATAATTTCTGTATAACAAATCATTGGTTTTACTTAACAGGTGATTAGAGGTAGCAGTAGAACTGTCAGTGAATTCGATGATAGGCTGATAGAAATCCAATCTGAGAAATGGAAAACATTAAAAAATAAAAAGTATACAGAACATTTGCTCTTCAAATCCTTTCCCCAATAAAACTGTATAGTTATCAACCAAACACATGCAAAGAATAGGAATGTTTAATCCATACTCAGGAAAAAAACTGTCAGTAGAAACTCTCAGCGGGCCCAGTGTTTTGTAGTTATCCATACAGTCATGCATAGCTTAATGACAGGGATATGTTCTGAGAAATGCGTTGTTAAATGATTTTGCTGTTCTTCGAACATCGTAGAATATACTTAAACAAACCTAGGTGGTATAGCCTACTACACATCTAGGCTATATGGTACTGATTTTATGGGACTACCATCATATATGTGGTCCGTCATTGACCAAAATGTCGTTATGTGGTGCATAACTGTATACTAATCTTGCACATATTTTGTTATATTTTCCCTAAGTACTTCAGTTTTTTTGGTGCTATTTTAATTTCTGTTGTTTTTTAAATATCAGATTCCAATTGTTCATTGCAGGTATATAGGAATTCATTTATCTTTTTTATGTTGACCTTGTATCCTATGAACTTGCTCTAGGAAGCTTCTTCTCCCCCTTGTAGATTCCTTGGGATTTTCTACTTAATCTTGTCATCTGCAAATAGGGACACTTTTATTTCTTCCTTTTGATCTTGTGTGCCTTTTAATTCCTTTTCTTGCCTCATTATGCTGGGTAGGACTTCCTGTATTTTCCATTA